TGCTCAAGACACATGCTCGGTATGCATGCGTGCTTTCTCTCCTTAATGCACATTACTCTTTTAAAAAATGATCATATGGTAAAACTGACTTTTGGTGGGGTGGTGCAAAGCTAGATGATTTTTTTTAATGCTTTTGTAATCAGAGAAAAACAACCTAAGGTGAACCGTTACCAGGAAGTCTCTCAAAACCCTCTGGGATCCTTCTGTACCCATTCCTGTGACTTGCCCTGTTTTGCTTTCCTCCTCTTTCCCTTCCAGGGTCTGAGATGAACTCTCTCTCCAGCAGTGAGGTGGGGATGGATGCTGGTTTGCCTGGTCTCATTTAAGTGCCTGTTCCTTGTTTGCAAACCTAACATCCAACTTAGGGCCGGGCCAATTCAATGCCAAGCATGGCAGAGATGTTCCATCATCCTCCCTGCCTATGCACACAATTGTAGGGGATCACCCACCCCCGTGACCTCTTATTTTTTCCATCATTTTTCTAGCCTTTTCTCAAGCCCACACTTTGCCTTTCATGCTTAGGTTGTGGTTCGGGAGAACTTGGCAGCCGTCAGCTAAAAGCTAGACGAATACAGTGAATTATTTTCCTCTAAAAGAGCTGACAGAATGAAAAGGAAATGACAGTTCGTTTCCTTGATTGAGGCTGAGGAGTTAGTTGGAGAAACTTGAGTTCCAAGGCTCATTCCACCGAGAAGGAAAGGGTACCCCAGAAAGGCCAGTCTGTGGACAAGAGGAGTTGATTCAACTGTCCTTGACTTTTGAAAATCAAACAGAACATTTGATGGAAAGGTCAGACGTCTTCTATAAAGAACTAACTTACCCTTTAGACGTGAGGTCGGCCACTGTTGCCGTGTTTATAAGGGTTTTCTTTCCGGAAAGGGTAGATGGTGAGTTTGAATGAATGGAGCGGGGCTGGCCGTGTAGTCGTGTGACTTCATGTCATGGGGGACAGCGCACAAGAGCTCTAAGGCACAAAAAGTCAGTGGATTCTGTCCGTGCCTCCAACCAGAGCCACCGCCAAATACGCCCCACACCCGCATGGAATTAATCCCACTCCCCTCTGTGGGATGCGAGAGGAAGGGCGTGCTTAGTCTGCATCGTATGTCTCAGGAAAGCTGCAGATGGACACGAGCCTGAAGTGAGAATGTGGGTTTTTCAGTTACTAATGTTTAAAGGCTAACATTTCAGTAGTTTCATAAAACAGAATGAAGGGCTTTGGGGGGAGCCTGCTTTACAGGAAATCTTGAAGGAATGGCTTTGGAAAGCATTCACCTCTGGTAGGAAAAAAGGCAACACCAAGTAGAAATGGCTTTCCTCAGATCACGTGCTCTATTAGAGAGTCTCGTTTCCCAGGTTCCACAGGTGAGTTGCTTAAAGGGAGACATGGAAAGGCTCAGGACAAGGGAACCCATGGGGACGAGGCTTATGGGCTCCGGGAGTATCTGAACTTTGCACACAAAACATCGAGTATTGGTGCAACTCCTTCTATTGTCCATAGATGGGCCTTTCTGGGGTTTCATTTCTTTCTTGGTAGAATGAGCCAAGCTTCTCAAACTAACTCCTCAACACTGATCAAGGAAATGAATTCTCGTAGCCTTCATCAGATTCTTGAGTAAGTCCATAAGCCCAGAAAAGTTTAGAAAATGCCCATCCCCTTCCACCAGTGTAAACCCAAGACAGATTAGAAAAACAAACGAGAAAGACAGAACTGTCAACAGCCAACAAAATAAGCAGAAGAAGTTAGAGATACATCTTAACTGATTAAAACAGGAGAGGACATTGTAAACACAAAAGGTATGGGAGAATTCACCAAAGATTAATAAATTTAATATACAAAACTAGAGCTCCTTTCATATCAAAAAGTAGCATAAATAAAATTGAAGAACAAATTGGGGAAATGTTTATGATAAATTACTGGAAAAGGGTAAATATTCTTAACCTATTAAAGAAAATGAGCTCTATCTTTCAAAAAGCAAAAGGAAATAAGCAGGAGATGAGAACAGATAACTCACAGAACAAGTGTTAACAGCAGCTCTGTGCTGCAGCCCGCTGGTACTCGCTCATGTCAACCCATCCTCTGTTTCTCGTTCAGTGACACCACGTTAATAACTTCAAACTGACCATGGTGGAGTTTTTACAGCAGAGAAATTACCTACAAATCAAGGTTTTTGAAATTTTTTGGACAGCCAATTTACCAATGTACCTTTGGTTAACAGATGCACAAAAAGGAGCTCAAGTGTACCAGCAATCACAGAAATACAGAAAGAAATGAGGTCGGAACAAGATGGAATAAGTGCCTGTGACTCTATTCTTCCTGCAAACTACAACAAAAAGTCTGGAGAAAATTCATCACGTACCTAACAGGTGCTCTAAAAGTTGGAGAAAAGTCAGTGAACTGGCTAGGGACCTCAGAACCCAAGGGACTACCCGGCGGCGAATCCTGGTTTTTCGTGTTTGTCTTCTTTATATGTTGGCCTGGGCTCTGGAGAGGCCCCCAGTCTGCAAACACCAATAGCACCGGACAAGGAAAAGTCCCGAGAAAAGCCTGCTATCTTCAGCTAAAAGAACAGGAAAAGGGTGACCCAGTAAACGTCTTGACCATGTCTGACCTTACTCTACCTCCAGGTGAATACCAGGAGAGAGCCATGCCCTGCTCTCCCCACTGGGCACCGCATCCTGGAGACGGCAGGGCCCTGCTTTCCATCCCTCCCTGTGATAACAGGTCTCATCTAGTGCCTGGAGCAGAGGCTGTGGGTGGAAATTTTCACTGGATTTCTCAACACCAGAAAGACCAGAAGGAAGGAGAACGTTTTTCAAATGTTGAAAGAAGAAAACAATCCATCCAGAGTTCTATATCTACTGAAAATACACTTCGGGAATACAGGTGACACAGACATTTTCAGATGAAGGAAAACTAACAGAATTTGTCACCAGCAGATGTGCCTTAACCAAACAGCTGAAGGAAGTTTTTCAGACAGAAAACGATAACAGAAAGAAAACGGGATCATCAGAAGTGAAGAAAGAATGGGAAGGGTGGATACATGAGCAGATGTAGGAGACTATTCTCTAGTGTCAAAAATTATGTTTGAAGGCAGAAATGACAACATCTGAAGTGGTTGTCATTATACATAAAGGGAACACTTAGGGTGTCTCTATCTTAAAGGGACCTAAAAGGTTGTAAAGGTTTTACATTCCACTGAAAGTGATAAAATATTGATACGAATAGACTGTGATAAATTATATACGTATATTGTAATCTTCACAGCAGCAGTTTCAGTCAGGGCAGTTTTGTCTCCCAGGGGACATCTGGCAATGTTTGGAGTCACGACTACACGTCTACTGCCATCTACAGTTGGTAGAAACCAAGATGCTGCTAAACATGACAAGACACTGGAAAGTCGCACACACAACAAAGAGTTCCCCAGCCTGAAACGTCAATAATGCTGAGGCTGAGGAACCCTGTCCTAGAGCAGCCATATAAAAAAGTGCACACAGACATATCTCAAAAATACCGTAGATGAATCGTCACGGAGTACCGAAAAATGTTCAACAAACCCCACAGGAAGTCAGGGAAGAGGAGCATGATGAAACAAAAATCAGAGGGAACAAACACAAGATTAAGATGGTAGACTTAAATTCTAACATATCAATAATTGCATTAAAAGTAAATGGTCTATATACACCTATTAAAAGCCAGTGACTGACTGAATGGATGAAGAAATACACAACTCAACTATATGCTGTCTCTGAGAAGCTCGTTTCAAGCAAAATGACGTAGGTAGGTTAAAAGTAAAAAGGTGGAAAAACACATACCTTGCAAATGCTAAGCTAAGCAAGAGAAAACTGACGTGGATGTGAGATCAAGTGGATTTGACCACAGAGTCACCGGCGGTAAAGAGGGACGTTACACAATGAGAAAAGGGTCAATTCACCAAGAAGAAGAAGAAGGTGCCTAGTGACAACAGGGGAGCGTAAGTGCATGTCAGTCCTGAAAAAATGTTTAATTTATGTATTAAGAGACTTAAAATGATTATATCATTTTCAACCCAGTATTTTCACTTTTAGAAATCTCTCCAAAGAAATAATAAAGTGGTCCAAAATTTATCTGTCTGGACCTTCGTAACAGAGCTATTCATAACAGCAAAAACTGGAAAAACCCGAACATGTCCACTGATTGGCAAGTACTTAAAAAAGTATTCTATATACATATATAGTGTTATCAATAAAATCACATTGTAAAGAACCTTTAATGCCATGATAAACGGGAATGACTTTAAGGCAAAAAAGTAGTATGTAAAGCAACGTATACACAGAATAATCTAAGTTATGTTAGAAATATACATTTAATTTTAAATATGCAGAAGTTAATAGAAGAAAAAATATCGTGATGAGAGGAATGAAAGATCACCAGTGATTGTATCTTTGTGTTTTCATTTGGTTGTTTTTACTTTTTTCCCCACTTCAAGTTGCCTATTATGAAATACTGTCATGTTCATGGTCATAACAAACAGAAAGTGTGACTTCCAAAAACACAAAGTGTCTTATGCACTCTTGCATCGGGTATGGAGAAACTAAATCGGTGGTAAAGTTTTTGTAAATAATTCTGAGAGTGAAAAATGGTAAGAAAGTATCCCATTGCTCTCCCTAAAGCAGTCATCTCTGTTTTACTGCCCAGGACTTAATAATTATTCACAGTACTCCCTGTCATTCTCCAAAGGGTCACGGTGCAGATGTCACGTTGAATGGGCTCCCTCACTCTTCTGAATATCAAATTTAAAGGTGTTACTAATAATAAGTGAAACATACTACACCATAACTATCTACCAAGCACTGGACTAAATGCGTTACCTGGAGTATCTCTTTGAACCATCTGAGGAGCTGAATGATCTCCGTTTTATAGAGGTGCTGAGAAGTCAAGCAACTTGTCCAAGTGCAGACATCAGCAAGCAGCAGAGTCTGGATTTGAACTACCTCCGTCAGAGTAACCGCTGAAGGCATACCTGGGCCTGTCTGAGCGCAGGGTTGGCCGGCAGGGGTCTGGCGGGGACGCAGGGCACAGGAGGAGCCTGGTGCAGGGGCGGGAGCACCCGCTGAGGGGAACTGGGCTGAGGAACGTCCAGGGCTTTGAGGGGTCTGCTGACGTCCACGCTCGGACACTGCGGCGATCTCCTGGTGGTGTCCTGCGGGGTCAGAGCCGAGAGTCACTGTGGTGATCACCGTCTCGTTACTGAGGGGAAAGCAGGGCTGGAGGGAGAGGTGGGCCGGAGGAAAGGAAAGAAATCAAGGCGCTCCAGGAGAGGGGGTCTATTGTTACTTATGTGAACTTCAAAATTCTAACAGAACCCCCCCAACCCTGTAGTAGAGAGGTCGATTTCTATTTGAAATTTTAAAAACTGGTTTAATTCACTAACAAGTAGGTGCAAGACCCCCGTGGATGTGCCAGCCTGTGTGAAGACACGGGCCAGAGCTTAAGGAAATTAAGGACTTGTGAAAATGACATGTAGCTCAATGTGCACGAGGCTTGATGAGAAATGAGGAAAATTCCTGGGGAAGCAGCATCAGGATTTAGGGCTTGCGCCCGAAGGACCCTCTCCTGCGTGGTGGCCTCGTGCCCTCTGTCCCTCCCTCCCTCTTTCCTTCCTTCCTCTCTACAAACTCTACTGAGGTTTAATTTCATACATTTTGACATAAGTTCATCCCCCTGAAACCATCACAATAAGCAAGATAATTAGCATCTCCATCCCCTGGTCATCCTTCCGTCCCATCCTTCCCTCCTCTTTATCCCAGCAACTATTGATCCTACTTCTGTCACTATAAATTGGTTTGCATTTTCTAGAATTTCATACAAGTGGAATCTTTTTTTGGGTGGGGGGAATCTGGCTTCTTTCACTTGGCATAATTATTTTGAGATTTATCTGCGACTTCGTGTACACCAGTAAGTTCATTTTTTTCTTTACTCTAAATAGAATTCCACTGTGTAAATATACCACAGTTTGTTTATCCCTTTACCTGTTGATTGATATGTGGGTCATTTCCGGTTTTGGGCTCTTCAAAATAGAGCTGCATTTTTGGCTCTCACAAATGGAGCTGTTTTGCCCACAGTCCCACGGTTGGGGGTGAAAGGTGGTAATGCTTACCAGGAATGGCTGTCTCCTCTTTAGAACCGTCTACACTTTTTGGATTACGGGAGATAAAAAATATATATACAAAATCTATCTATCTATTTTGCTTGCTGAATACCTGATAATAATTTTAAATATCATTTGTCATTTCTTGACACCAACACTGTTCACTGCTACAATCTGGACTCCTGTTGAGTGAGTTCAACATTCAGGAATTCTTGTAGATACACCAGAAACACTTGGTAGGGGAAACTACATACTAGCGTGAACTCTAATCATAATTCACCAGGGTAGCAGGAAAGTTAGGAGACAGCAGGGAGCCAGGAGGTACTTTGGTTTAAGGATCCAGCTCTTGGAAACCACAGGCTGGACAGAGCTTCCAGAGCCCAGGGCTGGAGCAAAATGGGCCCAAGCAAGGGTTCCGTGTCACTCTTAGAAATACCCTGGGGGTAACCGTGGGCTGTAGACGTTCTCCCAAACCCAGTCGGTGGCATTTTCAAGTCACAGGAGGGGTCCGGCATCGGGAGCCTGCTTGGGTGGCGGACCCAGCGGGCCTCCTGGGAACTGGGCCATCCGGGCGCCTGCAGGGGCCACGGCTCGCCGTGGACCACGCGCGGGGTCCTGCAGGGGACGTTCCCTCAACGGAATCCAGTAGCGCTTCTGTGGGGCCCCGCGAGCCTCTTCCCGCCCCAACCGGCCCCTCAGGAAGACCCTGCTGGACCGCCTTGTGCTGACCCAGCACGTCACACGAACAGCCTCTGGGAGGAAGAAGCCGCACTGGCTTCTGGTGCTGGTTTAAAACTCACCTTCGACGTGCTGGAGGGTGGCGGTTTCGTCGGCAGGCCTTTGCTGAGGTGGGCGAGGCGAGCCTGCCCGGGCTGGGGGCCGCTGGATGGCCGGGGAGGGCGCGCACACCTGCAACGCAACCCCGGGCACGCTGACCGAGGGCGCAGTCCCCCCTGGCTTGCCCTTTTCTATTTTGTTCTCAGTAACGCTCCGAACAGAATTCTCTTGTTTTCACTTAGTGTGTAAACATGCGACAGCAAAATTATCTAACACCCTTCTTACAAGATTAAAAGATAAACATTGATTTCTTTCCCCAAAGCCACTATTCTGTTAAATTTGTTCTTGCAAGCCGCAGAAACACAGCTCTGGGACACTGAGACACATTTTGTATAAAGCTGGCATTTCAGCAATGATGTCTTTGAATATATTTGGATCAAAAGCTACCCCTTCTGATATGAATATCTTACTATTCAGCATGTCTTACAAAAATTACTAATGTAAGGGTGGGAAAAAATACATCGGTGGAGTTTGTCCACACGCTGCTTATTTATGTAATACGCAGCAAACAGTTTGCAGGGAAAGTAAAGGGGGCAGATAGGTCTGGCAAGAATTGAAAAAAACCAAATCGACAGAAAATCTGACGGCTTCTTTGCTGAGGAAACAAAGCGAGAAGCAGGTGGCTACACTGTCTTTCAAACGCTGTTTCTTGGAAAGGTGACCTCCCAGCCACGGTACCTTAGCTTTTCGATGGTGGTTTTTTTATCTGTAAATAGCAGTTGTATCAACGTCTTCCTTTTGAGATAAACCACAAATCCAGCAGCAAGAAGACAGAGGATGGTCACCAGAATTCCTATAGTTAAACCTTGGTTATCTGAAACAAAGCACGTTTGACACAGGGAAGAAGGCAGTTACAGTGAAATACAGGAAGCGTTAAACTGTGACATTTACAGCAAAACAAACTTGGAAGGAAGGAACAGAAACAGAGTGTGTAAATCCCTGAATGGTGTACTGAGAAATTAGTCTTACTTCAAAGGTCCTGTTCGAGGTGCAAGCTAGCTTGCCACCTGTCACTTCTGACAATTCTGGAAGTTGCTAAGCAGGGATGCAGGCTGGTAGGTGGGACCGCAGCCCTGGCCACCCAGGCCCCCCTCCAGGCGTGAGGACAGCCAGGGAATGGTGGCCATGGAGGCTAACAGGGAGCCATCACTACAGTCCCATCAGACTTAAAGTGGTCCCCCAGCTAAAATCTTCCCCGCCCCACTGCAAACACCCTCCTGCAGGCTCTTCCTTCTGTCCTTTTTCTGTATTGGGGTTTGTTTTCATTTTTGTTTTTTTGTATTTTTTCAGACTAAGACTTTATTTCTGGATGTCGTCAAATTAGGTGAAAAAGAAAAAGAAAACTCAGCTTAAAGACAGGGCCCCCGGGTTTTGTTTTGTCATGCCAGGGGCTTGCAGCGCAGCCCGTGGGGGCAGAGCCCTTTCTCGGGGAGAATGCTGCTTATTACCTCTGAGGAAACTTCCCCTTCTCTGGGATTTGATCCCATTTTGTTTAGTACAGAGAACCCTAAGGCTCCTCAGGGGCGTGGAAAGGGGTGGAAAATCACACCATCGCACGGTTTCTGACTGCGGCTGTGGCCGAGGGCTGCCTGGGGAGGGTCCTCAATGCCAGGATTCAGAGGCATTGTACGTGGAATTTCACCTGGGCCGTGGGTTCTCTGAGAGCACAGATCTCAATTCATTTGTCTCTGTCTTCCTGCCGGCAACCATCAGTTTATGCTTCACGTGGTAGGTGCCCAGCAGCCCTTTCAGGCTGCTCCCAGCTGTGGAGGTGGCTTCTGTCACCCGGGCTCGCCCCTCCCCGCCTCTGACCTGGATGTCCTACTGGCTGGGAACCAGTGGCTCCCACTCTGGAGGGGTGCCTTCACACCCCATATTTCTGGACTTCATCCCCAACTGACAAGTCCTAACAGGGACAGCTCTTAGTCTAAGTAAGACAAGCAGCATACGACAGTCTTGACTGACTTGTAAGTGTCACTGGAAAAGCACTGCTCTGGCTTCCTGGCCAAAGTGTCATTCTTTTAAGACTGTGAGCTGGCAGTCACAGGGGACTCTGGCTAGAGTTCTGCCGTCTCTTAACAAAGCTAATTTAAAAGTGAGCAGAAGCATCCTGAACCATAGTTTCTCATTCCTTAAAATCAGATCCCTAAGTCTTAAACTGATGGGGTGGGTGGCAGGGTCCCTGGTGCATTAAAAACTGAAACTGCTGGTTCTGTACAATAAACTCTTAAACCCAATGGCCAATTGGAAAGTTAACTAAGTTGGAGCAAGAGGCCAGGCATCGAGGCAGAGATGACAGTAAGGAATGGGGACACCGGTCCAGGCCTTGCTTCCTACCCACTGGGATGGACACCCCTGAAGAGGTAAGACATCGTGGCCCTTTTCCCTCTTGCCATGGGGCTGGGCCGGGGAGAGCAGGGCCTGGGGCGCTCTCAGCAGCCACGTTGAGACACGTCCATCTTCAAGCAGAAGGATGACCAGGAACTCACTTTCCTTCCTAACGACACTGTTTCTCCAGATGTGCCTGCCTCCGAGGGTCTCTCCCTCCTGGCCCTGCGTCCCCGGCCTGGCCCTGCTGAGCAGTGTTGTGTCTGTTGTCATGGGAACGGTGGCCAAGCCACAGAATCAACCGCCACCAGTCACAGCGGGACTTGGGCTGCGTGACGTCCCCTGCAGCGACATCAGCCACCGTCTGAGTATCGCTGGGGCTCAGGTGGGCACCAAGGTGGCCCACAGTGTGCTGGGGAAACTGCCACCCCCCACCCCCACCCCACAGTGCTGGCTGTCTGCTCTCTGCACCATAAGCCTTGCTCCTTTCATATTAGCGGGGGCACCCCTCGGACCTGCCCCGGCACTGCCTGACAAGAGCTCAGAGAAGATGGTACTGTACGAGGAGACCGCTTCTCAACATCTTTGAGGAGAGATGAACCAACAGTCCCAGCACAGCAGCTCTTGTCAGGGGAGGGTATGGCTCAGCAGTAGAGCACGTGCTTAGTATGCATGAGATCCTGGGTTCAATCCCCAGCACCTCCATGAAAAAGCAAAAACAAAAACAAAACAAAAACAAACAAAAAAGGCATTCGACTTCACATCTCTTGGCGCCAGTACACAGAGGCTGGCCTTCACAGAGTCCTTTGATCCGACAATGAAGTTCATACCCACTTGGCAGTTTGCCGCAGGATGACCTCAGCTAAGGGAGCGTCACGGGCTGAAAAGTGGTGAACTTGGCCTCAAAGGAAAGCAGGGGGAGGAGCCTGCAAAGCTCCCGTGAGGACGAGAGAAGGTCTCAGGCTGTGTCAGGTCCCAGTGGGGTCCCCACTGCGTTTCTGGCTGTGCACCCACACTGATGGTTGGTGAGGCTTCCGTCTTGCTCGGCAGGACCCCACCTGGGGTCCCATTCCCTCCTGCTCAGTCCACTCCCAGGACGTGCGGCCCCCACTCACCTGCTTGCCGGACGGGGCCGCTGTCTGTGCTTCCTCCAAAGCCAAACTTGTCACAGAAGGGAGGTGCCCAGTGGGCCTCGCAGTGGCAGTTCTTCCTGTTGTTACACACCTTTCGGGGGGCCGGGAAGGAAGACACCAAGAAGGAAGCAGTGTCAGGACACGCCTCTGCCTGGCGTGGAGCTACGTCTCTGAGCCTTAGTTGAGCCCCAGAGCAAAGCAAAGGTCCTGTGGCCAGAGCCCCGTCACATCCATACAGATGCAGCCAGACTCTGTACGTGCTGCCGGGAGGATAAGCCCCGCACCCAGCCCCACACCGGTGAGCCCAGAGCCCGCGGCTGCGGGGTAGCATGACGCGCCTGGCCGCGGCTGCTGAGATGGTGCGGAGGTCGTCAGGGCTCACCCAGCTCCTTGCACCCCTTTCTTGTCTCAGTCGATCTCCACGTCCCTCGCCTTAAATCCAGGAAGCCCTTCCCACCTGGCTGTGATGAGAGGCCCTCTCAGTGTGAGGAGGGACCCTGCTTCAGGGACACGGCTGAGCCCTCGAGCGTCATGGACCTGACCACCCTGGGCCCCTTCAGACAGGAGGCTTGGGAGGCTGGGTCCCCACAGCAGGACCACAGCCCGGCCTCCTGTTTCCCGATGTCCACAAGGTGCCGCTCCCTCTAAGCCGGCTGCCACACCTCGGGCCTGACGCCCTCTTCCTCCCAACGGAGTCTGTGACCTGTGTCCTAATGAAATAAGAGGATGGCTCTGGTCTGATGGGAAAGGGGTGCCCACGAAGGCAGGAGGGGGCTGGCTTTGCTCTTACTGAGCCCTGAGCACTGCACTAAGGAGCCAGGCGGGGCTCCCCTGGTCACCAAGGGTGACGGATGGAGTCTGCTCCCCAGCCTGTGATGCCCGGTTCCACTTGTTCTTAGAGCCTGTCGTCACACACGTGCCGTACTGAATGACGACAGGAGCCAATGGAACACGAGCACGAAAACCAGGGGATTATTTCCATGACAATGAGGCCGAGTGCTTTGGGAATGCTGGATAAATGCAAGGCACTGAAAAGAATTTGTGACAAATTTGGAATGGGCGGGACAACAGCAAAATGATCGTGCAGAACTGCACAAGACGGGAAGGTTCTGCACTCGGGCTGCTCATGAGCCTTGGTTTCCCTTCCACCTAAGGAAACAAGCTACATGTCGCAGATGATGCACTTTGGGTGGTTTACAGAAGTCAGGGCAGAGCCACGGTCAGTACACCCGTCTCACAGGCTCCAGCCCCACATCAAGATATTGCTGGATGGGGCCAAATACACAATTTTATATTTTAAGGCAAAATAAATACTGGGGGATGTGTCTCATTTGTGATGTTTCTCTGCTTTCACTGGCCTTTTTTTTTGTTTTCAATGAATCAACCACCTGCCCCAAAGGCTTCAAACAAGAAGGCCGACAGTCAGGATGGCCTGTGCCTAGTGGGGAGGTATGTTTCCATGAGGCTAAAACTAAGCAGAATTCATTACTGGGTAGCAGAGCCTGTGCCGGGTCTGGAAGTCCTGCCTGTCTCCTCAGAGATGCTGCTGCTGACGGGGCCCTCCAGAGGATGCAGGCGCTGTCCCGCCCACACCGTTCTGTGTGGTCTCCCATCGCCAATCACAGTCACGGGGCACAGCCCAATCCCCTCTTGGAGGTGCTGCTGGTAAGCCTGGTCTCACTAGGGGAGGACCGTGGTCAAGCTGTGACTTGTTACCAACTGCTCTCTCTACCAAGAAGATGTGGGCCTTTCCTCTCCAACGTGTGGATGGGACCCCAGGGATGTTGGACGCTGAGGAGTCCCAGGTCCCTGACCCAGCATCGCTACCGACCTGGTCTTGCAACCTTGGATGGGGTCGCCACCCCAACTTGGGTCTGGGCTTCGTCACCGGTCAAATAATAAGGCTGCACTAGATCATTTCTGCAGCCATCAGAAAGGAATCTACGATCCAATAAGGACATAAAAAGATTCCATCTAATATTGACAGTCAGCTACACTCACCATCAACAAACCCATCTGAGGTGGCACTGAAATCCTTTATGGTTACAGCACAACAGTAATTTTATGAAAACCTCCATCATTCTATGTTAGAATCATTGGTGAGAGTCTGCAAGTTTTAAAAATAGAATTTGGGGCACAGTTGCTGTAGAAAAGGTTTCAGAAAAACAAATGAACCACTGGCATAGCTAATCAAGATTAATATGATTCCACTGGAAATAATCAAGCCCAGAGGAAAAATAAATTATGTTTTAAACAATTAGAATCCTCTTCGCCCCTAAAAAAATCCTCTGAACGAAAATAATAGACTCCCTTAGTTGAAACCCGTTGTATGTGACTTCAAGAAGATGTGGTCAGTGTGTCCTGCCTTCTTTGTTTTAATTCCTTTGGGAAATATTCCAGTTCCAACACATATTCTGAATCTTGGTTGTGAGAGGGACAGCTTTGTTTGAAACGTTAATGAAAAACTCTTCATGAAGGAAGTTAGTGTTATAATTACTTTGAAGATGACAAAGTCCTTTAAAAAAAACAAAACAAACCCAGACTATTCATTTAAAAGCTAATTACCACTCAATTTGATTTTCTTTGTTGAATAAAAATCACATTTCTTACGCTGTGTAAAGGTCAAAGCAAGTGAGCACCTTTAGGAGAAAATACTGGGGCGACACTGACGGCTGAAGTTTCACAGAGTCATGGGCTGCAAAATCCTTGACAAAGGAAGGGTTTAGTGCCGGACCTGTCACCGGCCCGCTGAACGCAGGCTTACCCCTCGGCTGTGGCACTGCACCGCGCACTCGTGGACCCCGAAGACGCTGACGTTCTGACAGCGGCGGTTGAGGCAGATCTGGAGGAGAAGGGAAACACAGCGAACATCTCAGCACCTCTACAACCACACGCACATGCACGGATCTGTGGATCCAGGAAGAAGAAGCAAAGGTTCGCCGGAGGAAGACCATCTTCCCTCAGTTCATACGGACGTGGCACGATGATGCATTTTAACTCTGACCTGGGTGTGCACCCTGTCTTGCCTCCAAACTCTGCACGCTTCAAGACTCAGATCCATGTGGACACTGTGGAAGCCTTTTATACTTCATGGCATTTTATATGGTTTCTGTCAATCCGGAAATTACGGTAACTGATTTTTTCATGATTTTTGTTTAGAGCTTGCAATGAAATCTACATATTACAGCATTGTCCTCCCTCCATTAAAAGACGTAGGAGAGAGTAAAGCCTGAGCCGATGCAGACTCAGACTCCAAGAACACAGGGTCCGAGAATGTTTTAAGGGAGATATTAAAATATGGGAACTTTCCAAAACACTGGCTGACAAAGACTATCATCGATGACATAAACCATCAACAGAAATGCTCCGGAGAAGAAAACAGATGCTTCTCTGTGTTTATCCAGCCTCTGCAGAGGCAGTGATTTGCTAAATGATACTAGGCTGGTTGGAAGAGTTCAGTTGCATTTCAAGGGTGCAAAACACACTCCAGACTCAAGGGATCAGGCCCTTTATCTCCCATAAGATACCACAAATTTATCGAGTCAAAGGAAAGAAAAGTCTAATTTTTAGATTACAGAAGCATTTTTAATCAAGTAGGACCTTCCTATGGGACAGTCACCATCTGACCCCAGCAGTTTATCTAACGCCCTTTGAAAAAAGTGCTGGCCCCAGCAGCTCTCAGGGCTGGTGGGAATCTTGGCCAAGGGGACTGTCACATTCCGGCTGATAAAAGACAAGGTCTGGGACTGCACTGAACACAGCAGGACCCCAGTCAGAATCACAGCGTATGGGTGCTGCTCCCCACCAACCCACGGACAAGGCTAAAGATGGCTTTCAAAGAACCAGCATTCTGCAGCAAAGAGATCAAAGCACATTTAATCTTACACAGGAGGGAAAAAGCTCACTGATAAATTGAGTCCTTGGAATTTCAGTGTGCAGATGCACCCGGCTCTGGCTGTTCAGACCGCAGTTTAAACGGGTGCCGTTCTAATGTCTAGGCTTGAGTACAAGCTAATGTGCATGGTTAAGGAGACACCTGGAACACATAACATGTCTCACGTTAGCATCCTATTTCCTTAAGGATAAAGCATGGTGCTCAGGGTGCACGGGGGACGTGGGGACGTGAAGTGGGGGGAACTCTCATCCCCCTGGGACTCTGCTACCGGAGTGGAATCTGTAACTTTCCTTTCTTCCCCGTGACTTCCACATCAGTGAAGGTTTTCATAATGTTTTTATAATTCACATCATTGAAAATGGGGTCTAAAAAAAGCATGTGGGGGCTGATTCATCTTCCTTCCTAAAACATTTTATTAACTTGCTGTTATTTAGTCTGATGAGAAAGCTTGGTAGGAAAAATCAACGCGGCAGAATGTAAAACTCTGACATTTTTCTTCTTTTTTTTTTTGTTTTGGACTTTATTTCTAAGCCCCAAATATCTCAGTCTACCTTTACCCCTGGTCTCCAAGAGCCCCTTTGGCTTTAATCTTATCCTTTCCTTTCCCCTCTGCTAGTCCCTCTACGGGGGCTCAGACTACATATGACTTCCCATTCTGTCCAGGTGACAACAAGTCCCCACTGTGCCAAAAGCCAAGGCCACCTTTCCAAAAACAATATAATATGCTGCAGAGTTTCCTTCCAAAGTAATTTCCTGGCTGGAAACCCTCATAACACCCAGAGTGTAGAAATGACTTATTAACACTAAAGGGCTGAGAAAACAAGCTTGACTTTCCCAAATCTGCATCTCAATGGTCAAACCAGGATCCAGGATTTATTGACTTTTTCTTCTAGGTGCAAAGAACTGGATTCCAGAGACACAGTTCTGAGATGTGGATTTAGGAAAACAAACCAACCTTGTAACTCAGTTCTCGAACAGGACGTTTCTCAGCGGGCCCCCTTCCAGACTCACATTTGTGACGTGAGGGAGCATTTGAGTCTTACTTTTCCATCCGCACACTTTGTGCCGGCAAGCACGAGCCCAGGGTCCGGCATGTCATCGCCCAAATACACGTGGGTCCCACGGCACAGAATCCGACCGCCTTCCTGCAGCGGGATATTCGTCTCTATGGAAACGGCATTGGTACCAATGACTGGCCTGCTGGCACCTCCTTGACACTGGATTTTTCCACATTTAGCATCTCTGGAAGGGTAGGAACAGACAGTCTTCAGAGAGGGAAAGTTTGGCAGTGTGGGAGGCTCAAAGCCACGGCGTGGTCAGGATGCGGCTCCCATACCTCAGCTCGCACTTGGCAAAGGAACTCTTGGAGTTTTTGCCACAGTTGCCATAAGGGTCACCTGCAGAGTTGACTCTCTCAAAGCAGATCCCAGGGGCAGGTTTAGCACCTGAAACAGAAGCAGAGCAGCACTCTCACCTTCTGCAAGTGTTTCTAATATTTTTCTTTGAATAGCATGGGGCTTTCAGGTTAGGGGGAGATGTACTCAAGTGTCCAGATAAATCACGCCTGCCGTCTCAGCTGACTCCTGATGCGAGCTGGCCAGGGGAAGTCCGGCAGCCTGTCCGGGCTCAGCTCGTAGCAGAGCATGCATTTCATCACTCACTCTCCGTGAGGGCTGCTCTCCGGGCCCCACGGCATGCGCAGCCTCTCGGGAGATGAGGCCTGGCTCTGGGGCCAGACCCGATCCAGCACCAAAGGAGGTGGCTGGCTGGCTGCGGGGAATAGGGGGAGGCTGGCTGTCGTTCACAACTCCCACACAATTCCGGTGAGAAAATGCAAGCTAAAGCAGCGCCAAGGAATAATGATGACTAATACGAGGGAGCAACGAGAGACAGAGAAGAAATGAGCATCGCAGGGGACTTACATGACATTTCCAGTTCCGCAAAGCTCACTACCAGGGCAAGCATGGGCTTCAGTGAATGCCTGTGTTTGCAAGGCAGAGACTGCTCTCAGCAGCCATGTAGGCATAAAATCCCAAAGGCACTTTCCACAGCATGACGGTGCCCAGCAGAGGGGGACATGGGAGCCAGAGAGCTCAGGAAATGGCCCTTTGTAGCACATCTTCTGGCCAAGGAAACAGAACTCAGAACTGGGGTTGGTGCTGCCAAAGCTCTGGAGGGCTCTCAAATCCTGCTTAGTGGTATCTGTTGAAGGCTGTGTGAGAGATTCAGGGAAATGCTCCACAGTCTTCAGAATAAGCCGTGCCCTGTGCTCTGATCCGGGCCTGCCTTTCTGCCCCCACCGCTGGCCCGTCTGGGTGCTTCCTCTCACATCTGCCGGGATGCCAACGCCCCAGAGCCCAGCTCTGCCCCCCGCCCTTCTCTGCGCCCCACTCTGGGGAGGCCCGTTCATCTTCCAAGGTGACAATCTAATGATGGGCAGCACGCCCTTCCTCCCAGGGAAGAGAAGATGCTTTTACAACTAAAAATGCCCATCTTTCTTCAGCCTGATTCCTCCTCGTCAGACACGACCAGCATCTCATTAAAACAAACAAACAAGCAGACAAATCAAACCAAACACCCTGTTGCGACCGTTGAGACCAGTCATGGGCTCAGCCACTGACCTCTGCCCTAAGCCACCCCCATCCTGGACCACTCACGTTCCCGTTCTCTCTTTCAAAAAATTATCTAACAGAGATCTCCCAAACTCCTTCCTGAGGGTGCTGCCCAGAACGGGACACAATTCTCGGTCCTAGGAAAAGGCGAGGTCTCTGGCTCTTCAGTATTACCCCCTCATTTCGCCCAGATTCATGTGCCTGCTCCACCCTGGGGATAGGCCAGCCTCCAGCTCTTATGGACCATTTCTTGTGAGCTCTGCCTCTTCTTCTTCATCTGCCCACTGGAGGGGGGACAGGTGGGGTGAGTCCCAGTACTAAGCCAGTACTGAGCCTGCACTTTGTACTTAATTAATCCTCTTTGATGGTACTTTGATCAAAGTACCTGGATCCAACTGATCAAAGCGGCATTGAATACCAACTCCATGGTTGGCTGTGTGTTTGCACAGACCCTGTCTGGCTTTGCTTGTCTCTCCTCCCTCCCTCCCATCTATCCATCCATCCATCCATCCATCCACCCACCCGCCCTTCCATCATGTGGCAGTTCAATTATATACATGGACTTATCCAGCACTTGCTATCTGCTGGCTCTGGGGGGATCACGGTGACCGATTTGGACAAAACTACTGCTTGCTTGAAAATTGCGAGGAGAAACAGAATATGTTCCTCTGCAGCCCAGGGGCGGGGAGTGCCATGAAGGACAGCTGAGGAAGAGGTCCTGGTGGGGGCTGGTTCCGGGAGGCCAGAAGAGGTCAGGGAGGACCTCTTCGAGGAGGGGCCACAAGCTGAATCTTATCACCCTTAGTCTTCGCAGGTGAACGTGGTGATCCTGCATTTACCATGTAAATATAATGGCAAAGCAAAGGGAGGCCTGATATATGAATATCAAATAAAAACCAAAGATTATGACAAGTTAAGCAAAGGACTATGAATAGTATTTAACGCTGGGTAATGAATCCGTCAAGGGAGG